CAGTAGGCGAACTTGGTGAAACATATCTGAACTGAAGCAAAACTCCAAGCAAAGATAGACCAAGTATGGGACCAGGAATGAGTTGCTCATTTAAAGACTGACCCTGATACTGGAAAGAACAGTTAAACACAATCCTGTTTTTGCCATTGTGTCTCACCATATGGTGTGGACTGTACCAGGATTCAGCTGACTTCTCAGCTTCCTGAGGGGCGTTTTCTGCCTCGTAGCAAGCCTTCTCTAGTTTGTCCATCTCAGTGCAGTATGCTTCTGACAGGTTCGGGTCTTTGGCGATACTCCGTTTTGTGAATGTAGGGTAGGTGTCAATCTGCCAAAGACGCTCAACGTACTTGAGTAACTCAGCATTCTGACCGTCTACAGTGATGTTCAGACCTTTTTGGTCACAAGGGATAGTTAGGCTGTACCCAACAGGGCCATGCACAGTTAAGCAGTATTAAATGAGTGTCAACATTTGACTTAGCATAGACTTACAGTAGTCAGCATGCAACTCACGCGAATTATACACTCTATTCAAGTCATTATTTGAACTAGTAAAGTTTGCAGGTGACAATAACATAATGAAAAAAAAAATTTTGACCAGCAAAGAATGTAAAACGGATGACTTACTTTTTTAATCAATCACTTACAGAAGAAAGAAACATGTCCATTTTTTTGCACAATAAACAAGTCAGTCTCTCCACCCATACATATAGGCCCAATCCCAATTCTATTTTATACCCCATCCCTTTCCCCTACCCCTCCGCCTACCCCTTCCCCTTGTCCCTTGAAACAGAGTGTCAAGGGGTAGGGGTGAAAATATTCCCCTAAGAATTGGGACACTACTACTATGCCGTCACACGTCATCATACGTCGTCTAGCTCCTACAAATTCCTTGTTTTATTGTTGTGATTATTGTTTTTATTTTATTTTATGTAAAGCACTTTGAATTACCATTGTGTATGCTTGCCTTGCCTTGCCTTGCCTTGCCTTGCCTTGCCTTGCCTATACTGGTGCGCTGGTGTGCATTAGAGTAGACCAATAATATCCAAACAACAAAACTGATTATTAACTGCATCTCTGTGGTGATTTTGAATAAAACTCCTATTTGTTGATTCAGGAACTGAAGTTGATTTAATCTCCACAACATCATACACAGAAAACATTTCAGATGAGAATCACATCATGACTGAAACTAAATCTGCTGCTGTGTTTTTAGAAAAACAAACAAACATATTTGAAAACAAAATTAAAAATACATATTTCAAACTTACCAAGGCTCCACAAACACAAACGGAACCAAAATCTGTCAAACATCTTCAACAGTTTCAGTCCACAAATATAAACGACAAACTGGTTCAACAATGAAAGCACAGATGAGCTGATGTGAGGCTGCTCTGTAGTAAAGTGATGTGAAACTCCACCGTCAGCTAAATAACCATCTATTTATTCAGTGTTGTTGTGTGTGACCGTCCAGCTCTTTTGAGCAAGAGTAGGCCACAGCTTCCTGTAGATCAATGGCGTAATTTTCAACAGAAATAAACTGACCATAACATGTTAAAAGTGTCTTAAAGCAGCGTTTGATCCTGAGATCCTGAGAGTGTTTGGCTCTGGCTTCTCCTGTCTTCAGCTCGTTTGTTGATAATTTCTCAAATATTTCTCCTTTCAGACTGATTTAATCGTTTCTCTAATGGCTTTATAAAGCAGGAACCTGTTATAACTGTGTGTAAAAAAAAAAGTGTTCTCTCATATTTTCAGATGATGTTTGGTATGGAGTGGAAGTCAGAATGTTTAATTCATTTAAACAGGAGAGAAAATGAGGCCTGCAAACTACTGACAGATACACTGACCGCATTCATCTAATAATAAACATGCTGATGTCAGAGCTGTTTCCCCAGCCAACAGATCAAACCACATTAGATATAAATATATCAGAACACAACATGTTCAGCTTTGATCACACTACATTCAGTAAATGACGTGTATTGCATTTATCAGTTTTGCTACTCTAACCAGACGTTGGTATTTTTGTCGAATCTGAGCAAAATAACTCTTTGAAGCACATGTGAGTTTACCTCGGTCCTTTCTTCTGAAGAAGTGTAAAAGACTAGATCAGTTTTTTTCCCCCTGATATTTCATTTACGTTATAATGAGCTGTTAGGACAATTCTAAGGGCCCACGCACTTTTGGGGCCCCCAGAGATCTGTTTTATTAGCAGTACCAGTACTAGTAGTAATGTAATAGAAATTATAAATGTATCTACCAAAGAGTTACAAATAAAAGAAAATTACGGCTTATTTCTGCATTTACGGCTAAATTATTTCCCCCCATTCACTGCATGGTTTCATCCCGTCCTACATAGCCCAGAGTCACTGAGTGAGATCAGATGGTAAACTGTCAAATTAGAGATGTCTTCGAGTTCGATGGGGGGGCAAACCGAACTGATGATTTGGTCAGTCGCACTTTTAAACACATTTTAGCTTTGCTATAGAAAATCTACAAATTCACACTCTGATTACATAGAGCAGCAGCAGGAAGCATGTGAGGTTGTCATCGCAACCAGATACACTGCACGCCAATCAAGGGGAATTAAAAAAGCTACAGCCCTGAGGCACCAGCTCAGTAAATGGGCTCAAATCTCCAGGTTTAATCCAAGTTTCAGAGATACATAGGGCATCTAGAGCGTGCAGAGTAAAAAAGTAATTTAATCTAAATGTCTTATTTACCAGAGAGCGCGCGTTGATCAAAGCCACATGTTATGGCGACACCTCTCCCTGGGGTTGTGTAGATCTTCGAATCGGTCGAAGGTTAGAAGTATTTGCTCCACCATGACGAACCCCCTTGTCAAATTTAAGGTTATTGTCAAACCAAACACCCAAGTTTCTGACACAGGTGGTATTGTATGGTGATAGAGATGTAGTTTCAAAATCGTGTAAACTATGATCATTGGGACCAAACATAATGAATTCAGTTTTACTTTCATTGAGGCACAAAACATTTGTTGCAAGCCAAAGTTTCAGTTCCTTCAGGCAATCCAAAATGGGCTTTATGGCATGCTTATTACCACTCTTTAAGGGGATGTAAATTTGGGTGTCATCTGCGTACAGATGGAAAGAGACCCCATGCTTGTTAAAAATAAACCCTAAAGGAAGCATATAAAGTAAGAACAATACCGGACCAATAATCGATCCTTGAGGTACACCAGATCTTAAAAGCATCTCAGAGGAGGAATGATGCCCAATGTTGATGACATATCTCCTGTTAGTAAGATATGACCTAAACCACTGTAATACTGTGCCTCGTAAACCAACACATGCCTCAAGACGAGATATAAGAATATCATGGTTGACCAGATCAAAGGCAGAGCTAAGGTCTAACAAGACCAGAGCCATAGACTGGCCAGAATCTGTAGTCAACATGACATCATTTAGAACTCTTAAGAGGGCCGACTCCGTGCTGTGACAAGATTTAAAACCAGACTGAAATTTTTCATAAATAGAATTTTTAGACAAATAAGATTGAAGTTGATTTAAAACAATTTTCTCTAGAATTTTTGATAAAAAAAGGCAAATTTGAAATCGGACGAAAGTTAGCCAGCAATGTTGAGTCCAAATTTGTTTTTTTAAGATGTGGTCGCACTGTGGCAAGTTTGAAGTCATGGGGGACAGTCCCAGTTTGAAGACTTTTACTGATAATAGACAACAAGTCAGGACCGACAGTGTCAATAATCTGTCCAAGAAAATGTGATGGAATAACATTCTGAGGACACATTGTAGGTTTCAGGCCAGACAGAGTTTTGATTAAGGAGTTCAGGTTAACAGACTCGAAAAGAGACCAAGTAGAACCAGAGTATGGAACATTAACCAAATCATATGATGACATTGACACAGTAGACACGATTTGAGAGATCTTGTCATTAAAATAATTAGCAAAATTCTCACACAAAGAGACAGATACCTCAGGAAAAATGTTAACAACTGTTAACACTCAATAGTGGAGAATAAAATACTTGGCTTATGGCTGTTTTGTGTGATTAAATATCTACATTTTGCAGCCTTGGCAGCGCGCTGAAAGGCAGAGAGAGAGTCCTGTAAAATTTCATATAAGACTTGTAGCCTATCTTTTTTCCACTTACGTTCCGCCCTTCTACAAGTCTGCCTAAGGGAAAGAAGTGGTATCATTATGCCAAGGTATTGGATTATGTTTATGATTTTTCATCTTTAATGGTGCAATAGAGTTTAAGATATTAGAGCAAGTATTGTTGAAGATACTAAGATGCTCGTTTATATCCAGGTGACCGGTAAGAGTGTTCATATCCTTAGTGGCACCTAATAACTCATATTTTGAAGAGAATTCATTGCTTGAGCAGTCTGTAAATATACGAGTCCAGCGTGGCAATGATTGACTTGGGGTATTTCCATCAAGAGACACTGAGAACAATATGGGCAGATGAACTGATATGCCAGCGTTCTCAATTTTTATATCCAGCACTGGTATGCCACGAGATAAAATCAAGTCCAAAGTATGTCCCTGAGCATGAGTAGGTCCAGATACCCATTGCACAAAGTCAAAATAATCGAGTAAACGAGGAAAGTCTTTGGATAGTGGTTTGGAGTCACAGCATACATGGATGTTAAAGTCTCCTAGTATTAAAATCATTTTTAAATTCCTTATTTACGTTGGGTGTTCGGTATATGACTGCAAAAACCACAGGGTTGACTAGAGAAAGTTGAAACAGCAGAACTTCAAAACAAGTACGAGTCCCAGTTGATAGACTGCGACAGATATACGAGTTCTTAAACACTGTCGCCAAGCCCCCACCACGGCCAGATAACCGAGGGGAATTTAAAAAGCTACAGCCCTGAGGCACCAGCTCAGTAAATGGGCTCCAAATCTCAAATCTCCAGGTTTAATCCAAGTTTCAGTGATACATAGGGCATCTAGAGCGTGCAGAGTAAAAAAGTAATTTAATCTAAATGTCTTATTTACCAGAGAGCGCGCGTTGATCAAAGCCACATGTAATGGCGACACCTCTCCATGGGGTTGCGTAGATCTTCGAATCGGTCGAAGGTTAGAAGTATTTGCTCCACCATGACGAACCCCCGGAGAGACAGGGCCAGGGCTAGGGATAACAGGTTGAAGCCATCGATACGATGAGTCCAGCGAATGCCAGTGAAGACGTAATCCGTGTATCATCCCTGGCCCGGTAGACAGCAAACCAGCAGTGGATCTCAGCCGAACTGCAACTCCAGCACGCTTTCCTCTTTTTCTCTGACGCTTCTGACAAGTGTCAGTCCTAGCTGTTTCAAAAGCCACTCGAATGTCCATAAGTGTTTGGCGATCATACACCAACGCCATTTTACAGCCAGTGATAAAAATAGACGTAGATAAAAACATAAATACTAAGAACAGCAGAGACAGAGACGGGGAGAGCAGCAGATGGCATGCCAAACACAGAGGCGCCATCATGTTTCTATATTCAAAACGTAATAATCACTTTAATCTAGCTTGCGCCAACAGTTGTACACAGAAGCAGCTCTGGGCTGATGACTTATGAGGTCGGTGTTGCGCATGCGCCGGTGAGTCTAATGCAAAAAAGAAACATTACTAAATCATCAGATTGATCTCCTCTGCTGGATGAAGCAGCGCGTGCATCTGGTAATTTTTCTAAAGAGGTCAATTCTAGCTTATTCCTCACAGCGCGTCTTCTTTCAGAAACAAACAGTAGCCGCGATGAACTTGACTATCCTCAGGCTTTGTTTACATTGGGCGTTTACATGTGCGCGCATCTCACGTGGATATTATCATATGAAGTACAAGTCATTGGTATTTGGTGATGAGTTTTTGGCTCAAGGTCTGCATTTAAAGTCACACCAGAGGTGTTCAGCTGGGATTAGGACTTTGCTTTCTGCAGACCAGTCAGGTTTTTCCACACTGACTGAATCAATATATATATATATATATATATATATATTAACCTTGCCTTATACACAGAGGCATTGTCGTGTTAGAATAGAAGGGCCCTGCCCAAACTGTTGCTATAAAATTAGAAGCACACGATTCCCGAGGATATCATTATATGCTTAAACATTAAGATTTGTACTCATGGAAATTACTAAAGTTGTCAAACCTGTTCATTAGAAGGGAGGGTCCCAATACTTTGGGCAATATAGTGTATGTTTGGTGCGGTAGGGGGCCCAACCTTATATTCTTTCATAGGGCCAAAAATTGCTAGCGGCGCCCCTGAACACTGCTGCGAGGGTGATTGTAAAACAGCTGCTGAGGGAGTGATGGTAAATTTGACATCTTTCTTTAGCAATCACTCTCTCAATAAATTTTTCCTCGTTTGGAAATTTGCGGGGTGCCGGGAACGCTGTCATGGGAGTTTATTTGCTATTTGAGCTAATGGCAAAAAAATCATATTAGCTGCAGTCTTGATCCCGTTCAATTAACTGTAACGACTTCCGCTTTCATGACATTAATGTACATTATTCAGCAGATTATTGAAACTATTTTTAGCTTGCAGATATACAAAAATAACTATTTAATAATAATAATAAAATAACACTGTTTTAGCAGTGAAAGAATTAGCTTAATAATTTACAAAAAACGTTAAAATAATGTAAAACTTTATATTTGGTGCTCTGCTGAACTCTTTAAAATATAGGTCTACTTCGTTTGTATTCCTCCAGGGGGCGCGCAACATAAATGTAATAAAACATGGAGAGACTCTTGAACCTTACAGAAATCTTTATTGATAATTGCAGGCAGATACATAAGGCATGTAGAGAGCAGTAATAGTAAAGTGAGATCTGCGTGTCTTATGTGAGGAAAATATAAACAATAAGGCCTTTTAAACTGGATAAAAAAAAACTCATAACTCACTGGATTAAAAAAAATATTAAAAAGGAAAAGAGATGGCACAAGCTCAAGCAATTATCAGTAGTTATTATGACAAAACACTAGAGGAACAAAAATGACTTTTGAAGAACCTTCAGTTCTGCATTCTGCTTCAGATTTCAATTGTTTCTGAAAAAGATGAATATACTGTATATATATAAAGCCATTAATTAATAAATCTCACAAATATTTATATATGCAAAAATGGTTTGTAAGAAATTACATAACGTACCGGATGAGTGAATATGTGCTCGATCCTGTTCAGCTCTTCTGGATCTGATGTCATAAACCAGAAGAACGACAGTAGCCACGCCCACCAGAGCAGAGAGGACCAATCGGATCACAGCTTCAGTAGAACCACAGCAGTGGACAGAGTCTGAGGAATAAACACATCAAACTGAGATCAGCTCAGTCAATAAACACTAATATCAGCTCTAATATCAGCGCTGCTGTACCTGAACATGTGTGACAGAGTTGAGTGATGTCCAGATGTTGAGTCTGGCTGCTGATGGGATTGTTGAGCACACAGCTGTAGCTGTTTTTCTCCTGATATTCCACCTCCAGAGGTAGAGAGAGACTGATGCTGAGATCAGACACACTGATGCTGGACAATAAACTGTTTCCTTTGTACCAGGAGAGAGTCACATGACCCACATTCACCACTGAACACACCAATGAACAATTCTGCTGTGATGATGAAGATGATGAAGAGCAGTTTGAAGAGTTACTGCTGATGACAGGAACCGGCAGACGAGCTGAAAAACATGAGAGAATAAAGATAATTGAAGATGAATGAAAATATTCAAATAGACGAGGAAGAAACTTTGACTGGTCAAAAAGGCATTTTAATCTGATATAGACAGTTAAATATGAACCTGGGTGTTATAAATGTAAGTTTGACTAATTAAAAATAAAACAACGTGTAAATGATAAGATATAGATCATCTTTAAAGCTGTAATAACTGAACTCACCATAGACGGTGAGATTGTAACACTTCACTGTGTCAGTGTGTAGATAATAAACTCCACTGTGTTCATTTCTGGTGTTTGTGATGATCAGAGATCCGGTCTGATAATCCAGCTTCAGTCTGTGTTTAAATCTCCCATCAAGAACAGCATCATACACTTCACTCGTGTCTTTCTCTGCACTGATTTGAGCTATTAAAACGTTGGTAAGTCCAAAATTCCAGTGAATCTCCTTATAATCCATTTCAGTTCGACCAGTGTTTAGAGTAACTGAATCTCCCTCCAACACTGATATTTCCTCTGCATCACAAACACACACATAGAGAAGAAACAGAAAGTTTGTCACAGATTAAGACTTTTAAATAACTTCATGATGATTTAGAAAAGTTATCAGTTTGAAATTTAAATTGAATTAATATTATCATAAAACAACAGAACTGACAGCAAATGGATGGAGTTTGGATTAATAGTTGCATCTTTAAATTAAAATGTAAAACAGGCGAAACTGATATTTAACCCACTGTAGACTGTGAGAAGGAAAATCGTCTTCATAAGGTTGCTCGTGAGTTCAAAAATACTGTCTTTGGTTCTGGTGTTTGTGATGGTCAGAGATCCAGTCTGACCGTCCAGCTTTAGTCTGTCTCTGAATCGCTCATCAAGAACATCATCATATACACTGCTGGTTTTGTCCAGTACATTGATTTCAGCAATTACAGGTCCTTTAAATCCAAATCTCCACTGAATCAGATCAACATCCATCATTTCGGTAAGATCATTGATTAGAGTGACAGAACCGTCTTTTTTCACCGACATGAACTTCACTCCTGTTTCGCCAAACACACAGGGATTTTCACAGATTTAAGACATGTTTAAATGAAATAATATCATAAACCAACAAAATCAAATAGGTATTTGTATTAAAGGGTAAGTTCACCCAAAAATGAAAATTAGCCCATAAATTACTCACCCCCGAGGCATCTTAGGTGTATATGACTTTCTTCTTTCAGACGAATCCAGTCGGAGTTATATTAAAAATGGCCTTTGATCTTTCAAGCTGTTTCATGGCACTCAGCGGGTGTTGCATGCATCAGTCCAAATGAAGTTAAATAAAATGCACCCATCCATAAAAAATTGTGGCGCATGCGCACTCACCGGCACATGTGCAAAGCTGACCTTATACATCATTCCCCCGGAGCTGCTTCCCTTTACAACAGTGAGCGCAAGCTACATTAAAGTGATTATTACGTTTTGAATATGGATATTTTTCTTACAAAAACGCATTGATTCGCTACAGAAGGACTTTATTCAACCCCTGGAGCCGTGTGAGACACTTTTTTTTTTATGGATGGGCGCTTTTTATTTCACTGCTTTTGGACGGATCCATGCAACACCCGCTGAGGGCAATAAAACAGCTTGTAATATCTAAGACAATGTTTAATATAACTCCGACTGGATTCGTCTGAAAGAAGAAAGTCATATACACCTAGGATGCCTCGGGGGTGAGTAATTTATGGGCTAATTTTCATTTTTGGGTGAACTAGCCCTTTAATAATTGTATATTTGTGCCGAATAAAGTATATAACTCACTGGCGACAGTAAGATTAAAAGGCTTGATCACACCGTTGATCTGCAGTTCATAACGTCCAGCATGTTTCATTGTGGTGTTTGTGATGGTCAGAGATCCGATTTGATTGTCCAGCTTCAGTCTGTCTCTGAATCTCCCATCAAGAACATCATCAAATACTGTCATGCTGTTGGCCTGTTTATTGATTTCAGCGATTAAAGTGTTTTCACTCCCAAACCTCCACTGAATCACACCCTCATTTGTCATTTCAGTAAGACCAGAGTTAAGAGTGACCGATCTTTCCTCAGCAACTAACACCTCTCCATCATCAGCAATCACTCCTGAAGAACAGAGCTGATTAAAACCAGTTGATGTTGGTTTGATGGAACTTCACTAAAATGCATTACTAATAATAATTTAAATCTGAAGAGACGAACATTGTGCAGCAGTGCAAAGACAAAAGATGATCAGTGAAACGAGAAATGAACTTTTCTTTGGAACAATAACTGAATAGCAAGACTTTATGCAACTAACACTAAAGTGTTATTTCAGCTTCATATTTAATTGAATCAATCCTTAATAACTAAACACAGAGTTGAATTCAAACTTGATCTCACAGTTCAATTATTTTCATATGAGAATAACAGTGAATGTTAATCCTTTCTGACTAATATAACCAGTAATTTATTACATGGTACCAGAACTGAAGCAAACAAAGCCATAAAAACACATTTCAAACTCACCAACCAGACGCCACAAACTCAACCAGAACAAAACTAATTTGAGAAACATTTCCTTCATCAATTCACTGTAAAGCCCACAATAGTGATGCTTAAAATGTCTGAAAACACTCTGAAACATGACTGAACTTTAATATTTATCTGGCTGTGACCTCAGTCACAGTTTCCGCTCCCACGTCCATCTCCTTTATCATGAAAATCAACAAGCTTTTGCTGATCTTACATTTTCAAATGAATTCCGGCCCTGCATGAAAACTAACATCAGGAGTGTTTGATTAGATATCCTTTCATCATCTTTAATGTCAATTTCTTACATTTAATCAATAAATTCATTTAGAATAATAAGGCACTACAGGACTGTTACCAATCAAATGAAATCAGTATCAACAAAATCCATCTTTGCACTGCAGAGGAAACACAGAAGCTACATCTTAAAGAAACAGCCAAAAGCTACGTGTTTGTAAGATGTTTTTAACTTCAAACCGTTGCTTCCAGGTAAGATATGAGACCATAATCCATAATATTCAACTAGGAAAGAAATATGCACAGATCAAGCACTGTTTACAAGCCAAAATGCCCAAAAGTTTGACATGAGAGGTCAACGGGGGATGGATTTTTTTTCCACTGGAGGAAGTTTTATTATGGATCATTTGGAAAGTAGTGACGATTAAAAACATCTTTAAAAGAAAAATTTCTGCAAAATTTTATTTTTGGGTGAACTATTGCTTTAACGAAAAAGTCATTGAATCATTCATGGAACCGGAACCGGAAACAGAAACAAACGAGTCATTGAATCACTGACTCGTCCGATTCTTTCAAAAATGCAGCTTTATTCAGTACCAAGTGTTGCGCAGAGTCACTGCCGTGTTTTGGGTTCAAGAGAGAGACCGAACGGTTGCCGCTTGAGTAACACACACCGCTTTCACGTCATACGTGTGGGGCGGAGATATCAGGATAGGGGCGAGTCCTGTTGGGGTGTGGGCGTGTTTGTTTTTGTGCTTTCAGATATCAACATCGTTTGGCTAAATTCGCTTAGTGCACCTTTAACATAGTACATCTAACAAAGTCTTTTTTTTCTTAATATTTCCATTTAAAATGTACATTTTCACGTATGGCATCACATTTTAAATGGAAAGCTAGTAAGCATGGCTGCAAGGGTGTTTATAAAAGAGCTGCTGTGGAGACACTATCGTGGGGGTTTCTTTGATATTCAAGCAAATAGCAATGCCAAAATCATATTTGCTGCATGGCGATCCTGTTCACCCAACTGTAATGACATCCTCTTTCATTACATTAATGTGCATCATTCATTATATTAATACAAATTTTATTTTTAGCTGTATATGTGCTCCAGAAATTCTTGCAGATTAAAAAAAAAACACTGTTCACTGTTTTTTTGTTTTTGTTTTTTTGCGGTATAAGAATTAGCTAAATGATAATGTAAACGTTTACAAAAAACGTTTAAAATAATGTAAAGCTTCATACTGATGTGGCTGAACTCATTACAATATACACATAGCTTGTACTCCTCCAGAGGGCGCACGGCATAATAAATGTAGCAAAACAAGGAGAGACTCTTGAACTTGAGAGTGAGAAAACTTTATTGATTAATGCAAATACATATGGTAAATACACAGCAGTCAAGTGTGATCAGTGCGTCTTATCTGAAGAAAATATAAATCTTTAAAAACAAAAACAAATAAAAGACCCTTTCAAACTGGATGAGATTATTATGAAATTAGATTATTAAAAAATTATTCAAATAAAAGTATGTTATATTACATAATTTAGCATTAGCAAAGCAATATTTGGTCATTTTAAGCAAACAAAAAATTTCATGGCAAACACTCACATTTTGAGCATTTATGTAAGAATTTGTTATGGTTTGTTCTCAAATCATCTTCTAGGGAGGAAATGAACCAACATATGAATATTTAAATCTATTAGAAATAAATGAAGATTAATAAATTATATATATATATATATATATATATATACAGTGTTGGGGAAACTCCACCTCACGATCACTACTGAGCAGACCCAAATTACTCCAATTTACATAATTTTCCCAAAATGACAGCGGCCATACTGAGAATGTTTTGGCTTCACTTTTCTATAGTGGAAGGAAGTGGACATAGTCATCCATATTTTTTTTAAGTCTATTGTCAAAACAAATGGCTTAACAAGGCTACAATACTCAATATTAATACTGAAGTAATAACTGAGACACAAGATGGCGGCAGATGCTTTTGTATGAATCAAGAGTGCGCGAGTCCGTGCCTGAACCAAATATGCGGTCTGAAAAAACAGTATGGACAACAGTGATTATTAGGAAATACTTGAATAAAGCGATTGACCAATCAGAATAGAGTATTCCACAAAGCCGCGTAATAAACGCTAGTATCAGCTCTGCTGTACCTGAACATGTGAGACAGAGTTGAGTGATGTCCAGATGTTGAGTCTGGCTGCTGATGGGATTGTTGAGCACACAGCTGTAGCTGTTTTTCTCCTGATATTCCACCTCCAGAGGTAGAGAGAGACTGATGCTGAGATCAGACACACTGATGCTGGACAATAAACTGTTTCCTTTGTACCAGGAGAGAGTCACATGACCCACATTCACCACTGAACACACCAGTGAACAATTCTGCTGTGATGATGAAGATGAACAGTTTGAAGAGTTACTGCTGATGACAGGAACCGGCAGACGAGCTGAAAACATAAGAACTATGACCAAATTTAATCATCAGTCTTATTTTCGGTTCAAAGTGTTCAAGAGTCTGTAATCTCAAACTGTAAAAAGATTTTATTTGAAGGACAAGACAAATCATCTCTACTCACCATAGACAGAAACTCTGAATGCTTTTGATGACAGTTTTCCTCCAGTTATCTCTAGTTTATAATGTCCAGTGTGTTCAGTTGTGATGTTTGTGATGGTCAGAGATCCGGTTTGATTGTCCAGCTTCAGTCTGTCTCTGAATCTCCCATCAAGAACATCATATGTGGAGAATCTTCCAGCAGTTCTGTTGATGTGAGCTATTAAAGCCGTTTCTGTTTCATACTCCCACAGAATGTCATTTTCACTTATTTCAGTAAGATTAAAGTTTAGAGTAACAGAGTCTCCCTCCGTCACTGATATTTCTTCTGCATCACAAACACAGACAGAAACAGGGTTTGTCACAGATTGAGACTTTTGAATAACTTTATGATGGTTTACTAAAGTAATTAGCTTCATGTTTAAATTTCACTTTAAAATACAAGCCAGTTAAATAAATATTTAACGCACTATAGACAGTGAGAATGTAAACCACACTCATTGGTCTGTTGATGGTCCGTAATTCATAACGTCCAGCATGTTTCATTGTGGTGTTTGTGATGGTCAGAGATCCAGTTTGATTGTTCAGCTTCAGTCTGTCTCTGAATCTCCCATCAAGAACATCATCAAATACAGTCATGCTGCCGGTCGTTACATTGGTATCAACTATCACATATTTCCCAAACTGCCACCGAATCAAATCATCCTGCTTTATTCTACCAAAACGATTGTATAGTCTCAGAGTGACAGACTCTCCTTCCATCACTGACTCTGTTCCCCCTCCTGTAGCACCAAACACTCCTGCAGAACAGAATTTGTCACAGATCAAAATTACTTGATGTTTGTTTGATGAAGCTCGACTAAAATACTTTTAATCATTTAAATGTGAAGTAAAACTCACCAACCAGATGCCACAACCAGAACAAAACCCCTTTAAGAAGCATTTTCTTCATCGGTTCACGATAGTGAGGCTTAAAATGTCTGAAAACACTCTGAAACACGACTGAAGAACTGATATGTATCTGGTTGAGTCCTCCCTCAACAGGATTCGACCTGCATCACAGTTTGATTCATCGGAGGAAGTCCTGAAAATGAACAAGATTTTGCTGACCTTACATTTGATAACAAGTTCTGGTTCTGTACGAAAACTAATAGCAAAACATTGAAATGCTTCATGTGTGTTGAATTAGATATCCATGATGTATTCATCATCTTGAATGTCATAACAAGACACTACAGTACTGTTACCGATCAAATATCAAGTATCAACACAATCCATCTTTGCACTGCAGAGGAAACACAGAAGCTGCATCTTAAAGGAACAGATCACCTAAAAATGACATTTAGTTGAGAGATGTAGCATTGCATCAGTGTCTCACCAATGGATGCTCTGCAGTGAATGGGTGCCGTCAGAATCCAAACAGCTGATAAAAACATCACAATAATCCACAAGTAATCCACAGCACTCCAGTCCTTCAGTTAACGTCTTGAGAAGACAAACAAACAAACAAAAAACTATCAACTACATTAAGGAGTTTTTAACTAAAATATGAGTTCATAATCCATAATAATGCTTCCTCCAGTGAAGAAGTGGTCTTGTGGTATCCTTACTGCAACAATTTATGTTGGGTTGCAGTTCATAAAGTGTCCACTACTTATTATATATAGGCTGTTTTATGTGTGCGGCATTATGATGACAGAAGTCAAAGACGTGTGCTTGCGGAAGCAAATTTAACATTTGACACTGCCTTGAAAATTGCTCTGTCTTTTGAAGAGTTGCAAAAGCCCTCCTCTGCGGTATGCCACAAAGTAAAAAAACTCCTCCGCGCCAACAGACAGTAAAAAATAATACAATTCGAAAAGTGGGCAGTGTTATACAGTAGGTGGACAACCAGAATGTGCTTTTTACCGCCGTGGGCGCCGCCGCCGCCACGTCTGCAAAATGCATTTGCAGCTTTTGACTGCTGAGTGGTGCTTTAACCACAAGTTATCAAGCAAACGCTTCAAAGCTCATTTTTACAAATAACCGTCAGCTTTTCCTCGCCGATGTGTTACATTTGACGGCTGCAGTCAGAGGAAAATGAAAGAAAAACACTAGTTAAAATATTTCATATTCACTGATGCAAATTTAGTACTTATGAAGTTATGTGCGTTTTTCATTTAGAACAAATTCAAGCAGGATAAATGTCAAGTCTATGAGCCTTACTAAAACAGGAAACGAATCAATTAAACTTGGCACGATTTAGCAAAATCATTGAAACTGAAAAGAAGGGATGGATTAATAAAACGTCCTCCGTTTAAACTCAAGTCTCTCAATCATGCTGATGACTGATAGCCTACTGTGTAGGTCTATACTGCTGTGATCCTTTTCAGGCTTTCCGTATCATACCATTTTAGAAATGAATTAATTCTAATAACATTTTAGAAACTGAATTCTCAACGAGAACACCGCGGGTACGGTGGTAGAGAAGTGCAAAACAAATCACAATTCTAAAAACAAAATAACAAATTACAAATGCAAATGCAAATCTATAAAACAAAATAACAATTCAGAAAACACAACAACAATTCAGAAAACATAATAACATGTCGGAAAGCACAACAACAAATTCAAAAACAAAATAACAAGTCAGAAAACACTACGACAAATCAGACAAACCGGAAGAGGTAGGCATAGTTTGAGAATGGATTGCTTACCGCTAATTGGACAAGACATCTGTCAATCAAGGTGTGCAGGAAGTACGGCAGGCTAGTGGTAGAAAGTACGGATATGTTCTGAAAGTAGTTCAGTGAGAATAAATATGTATTGCCCTTTCTGTGGTATACAGTATGACATGTTTCCAAAGTTCTGCGGTTTCATGCGGAAAAATCTCGAGGTTTTAAGAGACACAAAAGAAAATGCCCGTGTCAATGAACATTACAGTTGTTACAATATATTCAGTTCCTGAAATATTTGGTTCCACTTGGTGGTGCTCACGTGAATATTCATCAGGATACCCCATCGTGGGCGGGGCCATCAAGTACAGGCTAGTGAAACAGACATTATTGTCGTGAGCGCCTCAGATCGCATTTTGTTTTATGGATTATTTCAAGCAGGTAATAAAGTTGAATGAAGTTAAGCTTAAACTACTCCTATGACTGTACATATTTTGTAAATAATTAATCGTTTCTGTTGCATGTGTTTCTCAGTTACTCTGTTTACCTGAACGATTACAAAACTGATCACTATTTAGGTAGCATTGGAAGACAACTACAGTATTTCTCCCAGATTATTTGTTGACATTCAGTAGAACTGTACGTTTCTTGTAAATGACTGAGATTAAGCTTTCAAGTTAGCATTTTTAAACTGATTGATTTAAATTTATTTTTCTAATCAATGACTTAATAACCACAAAAATACCTGGATTTTATGTTTCTAAACAAAACATGACTAGAAGTCAGCTGCAGTGCAACAATCCTCAATGAAACAGCCCCACCTAACTTTACTTTCATAAGTGTCTTTTTAATCATGAGTAGAGGTCTAAACATTTCATCCATTGTTATTAAGGACGTAGCACTATCTGATCACTTCTGCACTGAATCTAGACCTGTCTCTGTCAGAAAGAGATGCATTAACGAAAACACTAGTGTGCTATTTATGGAGGCTATATCTCTAACGCCAAGCATTTCTTGATTCCTTTAACTCAAAAGTTAAAAATGTTATTGATGACATTGCTCCTATTAAAGTCAGTAAGAAGTCTGGCAGACAGAAATCAGCTTGGAGAAAATCAACAGCAGTTCAGAGTATGAAAAGACAATGCAGAAAAGCTGAGCGGATGTGGCGGAAGACGACACTTGAAATCCACTATAGCATATATTAAGACAGCCTTCGTGCTTTCAATGTGGAACTAGGCAAAGCTAGACAGTCATTGTTCTCAAACCTTATAAACAGTAACTTAAACAACACTAGCACTCTTTTTGCTACTGTTGAGAGACTGACAAACCCCCCAAGTCAGATTGCCAGTGAAATGCTCTCCGACAGCAAATGCAATGAGTTTGCTTCCTTCTTTTCTGA